TACATATCAGCTAAGGCTTTATCAGTAGATGACCTGCAGAGATAGTACTTACAAACATATTCTAACTACTTTTATATGTTGTATTCACCTTTGACTGATATCTTTTCTAGTGGTCAGAGCTCAAACTGGTGAAGGAGGCCCATATTAAAGGATACCGTCCCATGAACCCCTGTCCTCTGTACGAGAAAAACAGCAAAACACTTTTCCTCTTCTTCATCTGTGTCGAAGGAACCTGCAAAGAGAAATGGCAGATATGGTTCAACTGCAACAAAGCCCGTCTCTGCTACATTACGACCAAAGATGCTGGACAAAGTTGGAGTGGAGTGACTGATCTGACGGACAAACTGGATGAAATCAAGAGATGGTCCACATTTGCTGTCGGACCAGGTCATGGTATTCAAACAGAGGGCGGTAGATTGATTGTCCCAGTTTATGCATATGTTAAGAACCCCAGCTTGTAATGCCAAGTCATACAGCCTCGCCCTGTATAGCGATGATCATGGTGATAAATGGCAGTTTGGAGAAATGCTGCAGAATGAGTCAGTTGAATGTGAGATGGCAGAGTATTTCCATGATAAAGAAAACAGCATCATCTACTGTAATGCTCGTAGTAAGAAAGAATTTCGAGAGGAAGCTGTCAGTAGTGATGAGAAATTGAGTTTCAAGCCAAGCAGTGCAATGAAGCTTGTGGAGACAGGTACAGGCTGTCAGGGAAGTGTGGTCTCCTTTCCAGCTCAACGTGGGGACGAGGGTCAGAGCCAGAATGCAACAAACAAGTGGCTGCTTTTCACCCACCCGAACCATAAGTCCAAACGCACAGATTTAGGGGTTTATTTAAATGAATCTCCACAGGATCCCAAAGCATGGAGTAAACCCTGGATCATTAACAAGGGACCCAGTGCTTATTCAGACCTGGCTTACATTGATGACGGATGGTTTGCTTGTCTGATGGAGTGTGGGGAGATCAGTGAGATTGAGCAGATAGCCTGCAAGGTTTTCAGCTACCAGGAAGTCAAGCAGGGAATCACAGAGTAGAAAATCACTCACTGCTCATAACAATAAGTCAATTGGCGCCATACAAATAACGATCGATTGCTATTGGTTGATTGACTGCTTTTATCTGATGTGAAGCCTTATCTTCAACATATTTTGTATTCATTGTGAAAGGCTATTTTCTCAAAAATGATACGGCTCTACTTGATGCTTCTCTGTTTTGTTAATCTTCTTCTCTTTGTCATATTCACTGATTTTTTGTTCAAACTCTCAAGTCTAAGATTATCTTCTCGTCTGACCATGAAGGTTATATAAGAAGATTTGTTAAAGTTGTGATGATGTGATTTAAATTGCGGATGTGTAATTCAAAAGATGCTCTGTGTCTGATCAGTATAATAAATGAAATGACTGTTATTAAGTAATAAAAGGTTAAAATAAGGTCACCTTGTTGGGAGGAATTATTAACACTGCATGTAATGTTGAAGGGCAACTTTCAAATCCTCAAATTCAAAGTTGCAAAAGTTAGATGGACAGATGGCGGTGGTTTTCCTGATAACACAAATAAGGAACCAGGAACTCTCTAAACCTCTGGGAACACCCCCCCCCCCTTTTTTTTTTTGAGTCTAAACAAAACCACTCACCACTTCATGAGCATTGTGTGATTAAGTTCTGCCTTCTTTCTCAGAATCATTTACATGATTTCAGACTTCTGAGAATAAAGGAAGGATTGAATTGCACAAATGATTAGTCACTGTGGCCAAACATTCATTTGATGACTGATGCACTGTAGGTGAAGCATGAATTAATCTGATGCCATTCTGACAACGGAGGGGGGGGGGGGGGGGCTTCAACACTCTTGCTGAACTTTTCCACGGTGTCATGTGGACAGACATTTGAGAAAGCCATCTGTAGAAGGGCGACAATATACAATGTACTGTAATAAAATATTGTCATTGAGCAGACATGAGTCCCACCTAAAATTGAAGAAATTTTCAGGAGTTTTGTGCATGACTGAAACTAAAAAAACAACCCATCATTTTAAAAGATCACACTAGGTTTTCATTTAAAAGGATTGTGTTGTAATACATAATGGATGTTAAACTAAAGTTCAGTCTCTTATAGAGATGTTTTATAAAATGCGCTTGACTGGACAACACTCGTTATAGAACTGTTTTTTTCCAATCAGCAATTTACCTTCATGCTTGTGTTTATATTTCCATTGTTTAACTGTTGCAGCTGCTTACACATTTATCCTTCACACTCTCATACACTAACAAAAACACAGATTCAAACAAGTGTTATAAATAATATATAAATGAACTGCAGGAGTCTGATGGAGTTTTTCATTCATCTAATGGCTAATTCACTCAAAGTGGATTCCAATTTTTGAAAATCATATATGATCAGCTTCATGCATTTGAGAAGATTTATGTTTTTATCAAGCTGTCACCCAAAAATGCCGAAAATAGACTTAGAGTCAACACTCAGAAAAAAGTCAATTTGTCTAATTTCTTCACAGTGAATGTTTCAGCACATTTTAATCTCTCGTTCACCTCTATACTTGCATTTCTAAATGTTTAATTAATGCATTTTCGAAACTGACTGAATCGATTCTAAAAGCAGGCGAACTTCTTTGTCCTCATTACAGAAACAAACATGAGTACATCTGTCAAGCACATATGTAAAATCAATTACCAGAGGAGAAAGACATGAGGTCGATCCATTCACTTACGGTGGTGTGAGCTATGTAAGCTGGAACGTAGGTCATAACCCAATGTTTTTCTGAGTATTCAATAAACCTTCTGTTTCGATCAGGTTACTTATTTCCTGAAGGTCAACAGTGACCCGTTTCTGCTTGGCTTCCTTGGAACTTGCCATCAGCACTTTCACTTTTCTCTACGTTCGTTGCATACACTTTCAGGTCACAATACGACGAAAGAATATCCTCTATCCGAGTCAACATTTCTAATTATGTCATTCCTTTTGCTGATTTTTTAAATACAATATTAAAGACCTATCAATTCATCTTTCATCCTCCAGTGTTATTATAACTCATACAAGGGTCAGAGCCAGAATGCAACAAACAAGTGGCTGCTTTTCACCCACCTGAGCCTTAAGGCCAAACGCACTGAATTAGGGGTTTATTTAAATGAATCTCCACAGGACCTCAAAGCATGGAGTAAACCCTGGATCATTAACAAGGGACCCAATGGTTACTCAGACCTGGCTTACATTGATGACTATAACTGCCGGTCAGTAAAAAGTCCACGATTCAGACTGATGTCCACAACAAGCTTTAATCTTCACAGAAGATACATCATGGAGACACCGTGAAAACTAGAACAGACAAGACAGTTTTTAGCCTTCAGCTAAAATCACTTCATATGTCAAAGGTAAATTGAACATTACAATGTAAAACAATATTTACCGTGTTCGCCTGCTGACCAACGGTTAGAAATGAAAAGGAGCGGGATAGAAAAGTTCTCGGCAGAACCCATGATTTCTCCCTCTCTCTCTCGCTGCTGCACGTAGTCTAGCTTTCCTGTCATGTGTTGCTATGGCAACCTATTCAACTTAAACAGCGCCAGCTACAATGACGGATGGTTTGCTTGTCTGATGGAGCGTGGGGAGATCAGTGAGATTGAGCAGATAGCCTGCAAGGTTTTCAGCTACCAGGAAGTCAAGCGGGGCATTGGAGAGTGATGCATGGTGCACCATGACACCTTTCTCAATGGCAATAAAATGATGTATTTTACAAATATGTAACTATATTTACCAACTTTGATTGATTTGAAACTGCTCAGACATTTAAACCTAATAAGGACATTCGAACTGATCCAGGTGCCCTCACTAACCACAAGGAGGGAATTTAAGATCAATGCCCTTTGTACCATTTTAATTGAGCAATTTCTACAGAAACTGTGACGTTCAGGATGTAAAACAAAACCCTCCCTCATTCACACGCTCAGGCTTATAAAAACCCCAGAGAACAATCTGTGATCATTGTTGAGATATACTCTGCAGCTCCTTCTTTCTTTCATCATTTACACCAACAATGGAAGGTAGTGCTTTAAAGGTTTTTCCCCGACAGAAGCAACCCCTCTTTGTGTCTTGGGTTTACAGGATTCCAGCTCTTTTCTACGAGAGAGAAAGTAAAACTCTTCTAGCCTTTGCAGAGCAGAGGAGGACTGAAAACGACGCCAGCTCTGTTAATCTAGTCATGAAGACAGGAGAAGTGAAAATGGAGGTCCCCTCTAAGCTGAAGACAATTAAGGTATCAATCCACATTGATTGTTTCCTGGCAAAAATTCATGTTAATGTCTCTAATTGTTTTGTTTCATTGACGCATCTCTTTTCTAGTGGTCAGAGCTCAAAGCAGTGGAGGAGGCACATATTCCAGGATACCGTCCCATGAACCCCTGTCCTCTGTACGATGAAAAAAGGAAAACCCTCTTCCTCTTCTTCATCTGTGTCGAAGGCACCGTCTCAGAAAAAAAGCAGATACAAAATTACACTAACGCAGCCCGTCTCTGCTACATCACAAGCAAGAATCTTGGACAAAGTTGGAGTGGCGTGACTGATCTGACGGACAAACTGGATGAAATCAAAGGCTGGGCCACATTTGCCGTCGGACCAGGTCACGGTCTTCAAACAAAGAGCGGTAGATTGATTGTCCCAGTTTATGCATATGTTTCATGCAGTAGCTCAAGCTGTCTATGCTGTTTCAAATGTTGTCAAGTCACTCCATACAGCCTCGCCCTGTATAGCGATGATCATGGTGATAAATGGCAGTTTGGAGAAATGCTGCAGAATGAGTCAGTTGAATGTGAGATGGCAGAGTATTTCGATGATAAAGAAAACAGCATCATCTACTGTAATGCTCGTAGTAAGAAAGAAATTCGAGAGGAAGCTGTCAGTAGTGATGAGAAATTGAGTTTCAAGCCAAGCAGTGCAATGAAGCTTGTGGAGACAGGTACAGGCTGTCAGGGAAGTGTGGTCTCCTTTCCAGCTCAAAGTGGGGACGAGGGTCAGAGCCAGAATGCAACAAACAAGTGGCTGCTTTTCACCCACCCGACGACGTCCAAACGCACAGATTTAGGGGTTTATTTAAATGAATCTCCACAGGATCCCAACGCATGGAGTAAACCCTGGATCATTAACAAGGGACCCAGCGCTTACTCAGACCTGGCTTACATTGATGACGGATGGTTTGCTTGTCTGATGGAGCGTGGGGAGATCAGTGAGATTGAGCAGATAGCCTGCAAGGTTTTCAGCTACCAGGAAGTCAAGCAGGGAATCACAGAGTAGAAAATCACTCACTGCTCATAACAATAAGTAAGTCAATTGGCGCCATACAAATAACGATCGATTGCTATTGGTTGATTGACTGCTTTTATCTGGTGTGAAGCCTTATCTTCAACATATTTTGTATTCATTGTGAAAGGCTATTTTCTCAAAAATTATACGGCTCTACTTGATGCTTCTCTGTTTTGTTAATCTTCTTCTCTTTGTCATATTCACTGATTTTTTGTTCAAACTCTCAAGTCTAAGATTATCTTCTCGTCTGACCATGAAGGTTATATAAGAAGATTTGTTAAAGTTGTGATGATGTGATTTAAATTGCGGATGTGTAATTCAAAAGATGCTCTGTGTCTGATCAGTATAATAAATGAAATGACTGTTATTAAGTAATAAAAGGTTAAAATAAGGTCACCTTGTATGGGAGGAATTATTAACACTGCATGTAATGTTGAAGGGCAACTTTCAAATCCTCAAATTCAAAGTTGCAAAAGTTAGATGGACAGATGGCGGTGGTTTTCCTGATAACACAAATAAGGAACCAGGAACTCTCTAAACCTCTGGGAACACCCCCCCCCCCTTTTTTTTTGAGTCTAAACAAAACCACTCACCACTTCATGAGCATTGTGTGATTAAGTTCTGCCTTCTTTCTCAGAATCATTTACATGATTTCAGACTTCTGAGAATAAAGGAAGGATTGAATTGCACAAATGATTAGTCACTGTGGCCAAACATTCATTTGATGACTGATGCACTGTAGGTGAAGCATGAATTAATCTGATGCCATTCTGACAACGGAGGGGGGGGGGGGCTTCAACACTCTTGCTGAACTTTTCCACGGTGTCATGTGGACAGACATTTGAGAAAGCCATCTGTAGAAGGGCGACAATATACTGTAATAAAATATTGTCATTGAGCAGACATCTCCCATCACTTAACATCATATGAAGCACAGTGACAGACAAGAGGAAAATAATAACAAAAAGCCAAACGACAGAAGACATCTGCCAAATCAGAAATCCAGACAACAAAATGATGATAAGATTGAACAGCTTTCCCTCCTGTTTGAAGATAATTCAGTGACTTGCATGTTTTAATCAAACTCTTGCAGAACAGCCTCCCCATCAGTTCTAATTGATTGATTGATGCTCATTAGAGTCGTTCTGATTAGTTATTTGTATAACTGTTAACAATGTTGTCAGCTGACACAGATCATACGCATCATGCAGTTAGAGGGGGAAGAAGCCGAAGCATGAAAATCTTGAAACCTATCGGATGAAGGAGTTTAAAGGACGAGCTCTGCTGATGTCATAGTTTGATTTTCAAGAAAGAAAAAAATTATTGGCCCAATAAAATGTACGCACAGTGTGTACAGGATTATGGCTGCACTCATTTCCATCAATCAATCTTTATTTGTATAGAGTCAATTTATAACACATGTTATCTCAAGATCCGATAACATGTGATGAGCCGATAAAAGACCTTACTGTTTGTGATATTATCAACAATGACCCAACATGAATCAATCAGGAGCATGATTATAGGCATTGAAGATTATTTTTGACATTTGCTTGTGCGATCATGTTCCTTGTGTGCATGTTAGCATTTTGTATAAAGCATTTAGCTCATAGCACCACTATGCCTTTGTCAAGCCTTCTGTCAGCCTCACAGGGCAGTATAGCATTTGATTCACTTTTAGATAATACTGTAATGACACCAGGACGCCCTCATGAATAGTTCATACACTAGAAAGAACAGTATTTGAAGGTTGGGTCATCATAGATGTATTTTGTAATTTGGGTTGAATGCTCCTCTGGCTCATGTAAAGAGTTGAGGTGTTACAGAGTGGAAGAGATGCCAAGAAATAAAACAGCTTAATGTCGGAATCAAGACACAAGGAGACGAGAAAAAGACTAGAAACCAAATTTCCTTTCAAGAAAGAATAAGCTTTACCAAGCCTGCAGCCTGGGGTGAGCAGTCTGCTGTCTGCAGTCTGCTGTCTGCTGTCTGCAGTCTGCAGTCTGCAGTCTGCTGTCTGCTGTCTGCAGTCTGCAGTCTGCTGTCTGCATTCTGCGGTCTGCGGTCTGCGGTCTGCTGTCTGCTGTCTGCAGTCTGCTGTCTGCAGTCTGCTGCAGTCTGCGGTCTGCGGTCTGCGGTCTGCTGTCTGCTGTCTGCAGTCTGCTGTCTGCAGTCTGCTGTCTGCTGTCTGCAGTCTGCTCTCTGCTGTCTGCTGTCTGCAGTCTGCTGTCTGCAGTCTGCTCTCTGCAGTCTGCTGTCTGCAGTCTGCAGTCTGCTGTCTGCTGTCTGCAGTCTGCTGTCTGCAGTCCGCTGTCCGCTGTCCGCTGCTGTCTGCTGTCTGCAGTCTGCTGTCTGCTGTCTGCAGTCTGCTGTCTGCTGTCTGCAGTCTGCAGTCTGCTGTCTGCAGTCTGCTGTCTGCTGTCTGCTGTCTGCTGCTGTCTGCTGTCTGCAGTCTGCTGTCTGGAGTAAACCCTGGATCATTAACAAGGGACCCAGCGCTTACTCAGACCTGGCTTACATTGATGACGGATGGTTTGCTTGTCTGATGGAGTGTGGGGAGATCAGTGAGATTGAGCAGATAGCCTGCAAGGTTTTCAGCTACCAGGAAGTCAAGCAGGGAATCACAGAGTAGAAAATCACTCACTGCTCATAACAATAAGTCAATTGGCGCCATACAAATAACGATCGATTGCTATTGGTGGATTGACTGCTTTTATCTGGTGTGAAGCCTTATCTTCAACATATTTTGTATTCATTGTGAAAGGCTATTTTCTCAAAAATTATACGGCTCTACTTGATGCTTCTCTGTTTTGTTAATCTTCTTCTCTTTGTCATATTCACTGATTTTTTGTTCAAACTCTCAAGTCTAAGATTATCTTCTCGTCTGACCATGAAGGTTATATAAGAAGATTTGTTAAAGTTGTGATGATGTGATTTAAATTGCGGATGTGTAATTCAAAAGATGCTCTGTGTCTGATCAGTATAATAAATGAAATGACTGTTATTAAGTAATAAAAGGTTAAAATAAGGTCACCTTGTATGGGAGGAATTATTAACACTGCATGTAATGTTGAAGGGCAACTTTCAAATCCTCAAATTCAAAGTTGCAAAAGTTAGATGGGCAGAAGGCGGTGGTTTTCCTGATAACACAAATAAGGAACCAGGAACTCTCTAAACCTCTGGGAACAACCCCCCCCCCTTTTTTTTTGAGTCTAAACAAAACCACTCACCACTTCATGAGCATTGTGTGATTAAGTTCTGCCTTCTTTCTCAGAATCATTTACATGATTTCAGACTTCTGAGAATAAAGGAAGGATTGAATTGCACAAATGATTAGTCACTGTGGCCAAACATTCATTTGATGACTGATGCACTGTAGGGGAAGCATGAATTAATCTGATGCCTGTCCGCAGTCCGCTGTCCGCTGTCCGCAGTCCGCTGTCCGCTGTCCGCAGTCCGCTGTCCGCTGTCCGCTGTCTGCAGTCTGCTGTCCGCTGCTGTCTGCTGTCTGCAGTCTGCAGTCTGCTGTCTGCTGTCTGCTGTCTGCTGTCTGCAGTCTGCAGTCTGCTGTCTGCAGTCTGCTGTCTGCTGTCTGCTGTCTGCAGTCTGCAGTCTGCTGTCTGCAGTCTGCTGTCTGCTGTCTGCTGTCTGCTGTCTGCTGCTGTCTGCTGTCTGCAGTCTGCTGTCTGCTGTCTGCAGTCTGCTGTCTGCAGTCTGCTGTCTGCTGTCTGCTGTCTGCTGTCTGCTGTCTGCTGTCTGCTGTCTGCTGTCTGCTGTCTGCAGTCTGCTGTCCGCTGCTGTCTGCTGTCTGCAGTCTGCTGTCTGCTGTCTGCTGTCTGCAGTCTGCAGTCTGCTGTCTGCTGTCTGCAGTCTGCTGTCCGCTGCTGTCTGCTGTCTGCTGTCTGCTGTCTGCAGTCTGCTGTCCGCTGCTGTCTGCTGTCTGCTGTCTGCTGTCTGCTGTCTGCAGTCTGCAGTCTGCTGTCTGCAGTCTGCTGTCTGCAGTCTGCTGCAGTCTGCTGTCTGCAGTCTGCAGTCTGCTGTCTGCAGTCTGCAGTCTGCAGTCTGCTGTCTGCAGTCTGCTGCTGTCTGCTGTCTGCAGTCTGCTGTCTGCTGTCTGCAGTCTGCTGTCTGCTGTCTGCTGTCTGCTGTCTGCTGCTGTCTGCTGTCTGCAGTCTGCTGTCTGCTGTCTGCAGTCTGCTGTCTGCAGTCTGCTGTCTGCTGTCTGCTGTCTGCTGTCTGCTGTCTGCTGTCTGCTGTCTGCTGTCTGCAGTCTGCTGTCCGCTGCTGTCTGCTGTCTGCAGTCTGCTGTCTGCTGTCTGCTGTCTGCAGTCTGCAGTCTGCTGTCTGCTGTCTGCAGTCTGCTGTCCGCTGCTGTCTGCTGTCTGCTGTCTGCTGTCTGCAGTCTGCTGTCCGCTGCTGTCTGCTGTCTGCAGTCTGCTGTCTGCTGTCTGCAGTCTGCAGTCTGCTGTCTGCAGTCTGCTGTCTGCTGTCTGCAGTCTGCTGTCTGCTGTCTGCAGTCTGCAGTCTGCTGTCTGCTGTCTGCAGTCTGCTGTCTGCTGTCTGCAGTCTGCTGTCTGCTGTCTGCAGTCTGCAGTCTGCTGTCTGTGTTGTTGATAAATGAACTTTTGTTGTTTGGAGAAATGAAGAGACAAACACACACATACACACTCAACCCCCCTTCAATCACAGACACAAACAAATTCTCAAATGTGTTGCATCAGTTCATTGGTTAGCTGATGACGTCATGTCCCTGGCCTTCTGCTTCTGCTGCTGTCACTTTCTGCTTGTTTTGACACTAAACACATCTGGACAAGATTGGAACATTTCTGAAATTCTCTCAATTTCTGCCTTTGTTGTGTTTTTCTTTTAAGCCCTGACTATATTCTGAGGCTGAGATCCAAGGATTTATGAGGAAATGCTAATTGTGGTTGTTTGGCTATAAACCGGATAGTAAAAATAAACTGCAATATTTCCTTCTCCATATGTCTGTTTCACATTTCTTCTCTGCCTGGAGGATTTGTTTCCAAACGCTGCACTCGCTTTCTTTGTCTTTTATCTATTAGGGCCTGATTGTACCAGTAAAAGAAGAACACAAAGGTTTAGCAGGTAAATTAATTCTCTTTATGAGCCAAAATGAGGTCAGTGAAAATGTTCTCCCTTCCTAATTTAGGTCATGTAAGAAAAAGTATTTTATCATTTGGACTTTGGGCAATTTTTAACTATCACTTGTGTTTTCTTCAAAGATTGGAAATTGATCTCAGTGGTGATTCTAGCATCTGCCGGGGCCGCAAGCAAAAATACACCCCCTCCCCCCCCCCCAAAAAAAACAGTATTAATCACCATTATGTCATAAATAATCTGACACCTACACAAAAACTGCGACATTTGAAT